GGTTTTTCTGCTGTGATCCGCAGTTTTGTTTTTTGTTTTTTTTTTCCCGCTGCGATCCACAGGTCCTGTCGTTTGATCAGGTCTGCCGCGGATCGCTTGGTCTGGTCTGTCGCGGATCTCTTGGTCTGGTCTGCCGCAGATCGCTAGGTCTGGTCTGGTCGGTTGAGCTGCAGGGTCCGGTTTGCGGGGAGGGGGGAGCTCTCTCTTTTGCCCTCGGGGTCCCTGACATGGGAGGCTTCTCCTTTGACCCTCTTTATCCGCTCTCTGGGGTGCTCAGATGTTGATGGTAGCCCTGTGGCTCTTTTGAGTCCTCTCTCCCCACTTCCTCCGGGGGCCCAGAACGTTCCGCTCTCAGATGTGCGGCAGTGTGGATCTTTCTGCTCTAGCTTTTCACCGTCTGGGATTCCATTGCTGGTCTGTGACTGTTCCTTTTGTTGTATCTTGTGGGGGGAAGAGTTCACGGGAAAGCTCACTCCGCCATGATGCTGACGTCACTCCTGAGAGGCTTATTTTTAACTTACTTTTATCTTATAGTCTCTTACCTAGTTTCTTATTACACTCACCTGAGCCATTCTGAAAAATCCCAATGTCCAGGCTGCACCCCAAAATAGAGTTTCTAGGGGTGGAACCCAGGCATGAGTAATTTTCATAGCTTTCCAGGTGATTCCAATGCACAGTCAAGACTGAGACCCACTGTCATAGTTCAAGCTCAATGGTTCATGCTAGCTGAACATTAAAATCACCTGTGACACTTCAAAAACAATACAAATGCCCAGATTCTACCCCCAAGAGAATCTGATTCAGTTGGTGAGCTTTTTTTTTTAAACTCCTGGCGATTCTGAAAGGCAGTCAGGACTGAGAACAACTACTAGGACTCAGTGGCAATTGACAGCCCTCTCTAAAAATATGGCTATTAGTTTCCATCTATAGATTGCCATTGGTTGACATACATATCTGCTATACATAGCTACAGAGACTTTCCTATGAAATATCTAATGAGAGCACTGGGCTAGATATTTTAAGAACAACTCTCAGTGGTTAAGGAGGAATTGTTTCTTCTTCATTTAGGTTCGCACAGCTTGCTCCTGTGCTCTTGGCTACTTAACTTACAATGCAAATGCTTTGCGCATCCTATTAAAGGAATGCAGGAATAAGCCTAATCAGTTCCTTCGTATAACAAACAATATCAGCAGAGATGCAAGTATTAACCCAGCATTTTTAAAGGAATTTCAAATGCAACAAAGAGTGGGACTTCCTTCTTTAAGGTATTGTGCCTATATTTGAAGTTGCAGTAGTGAAATTATTGATAGAGGAACTTTTAAGGAAGTTTAAGGAAGATAAACAAGGGGAACTATCCTTGATATGATATGAATATATGCCTTCTATACCAAAGGATAAACTTAATTCTAAATGTCCATTGCCAAAGCCTGTTTTAATTCCAACTCAGCAACAGAATTGTGAGTGCAGACAAGAATACAACCAGATCTTGGGGATCCTGTCTGGCTAGGATTATTCATATTTCAGAAAAGTTTTTGGGAGACCAGTTGCCTCCAAGTCTGATCCAGGAAGCCATTTTGGTGTAGACTGAGGTACATTTGAGATTTCTGAGCCAACCAGGAACACCACCATAACTCTGGCATCAAATAGGACTTTTGGACTTGATCCAAAGCTAGGCCAAACTCCCAGGAGGGAAATGGCTAAATCAGACCCAGTGGCTGGAGTTATGGCAAAGTTTGCCAGGCATTTATTCAGTGTTGTAGTTTCATCATGAACTTAAGTTTCTGAAAAAAGAGAGAAGAGAGTCTCCTTACAATGGGCATATTTTCTCTTCTTCCATAGATGTAGCTGAATTACAAGTCTTTGCAGCAAATAGTGCTATTTATATATAGGAAAACAGAACTACTCAAGATATATTAACTCTATGATAACAGAAGAGAATAAGATACAATAGTGTATCATGCTTCTATAAATCACTTTTAAGTATAGAGAAAAATGAGTACATCTTCAGAGTCACTTTAATTTTAATTCTTTGAAAACCTGAAAACCCAAGACTGATTACCTAATTTTTTTTTTTTTGAGGAAGACTGGCCTTGAGCTAACATCTGTTGCCAATCTTCCTCTTTTACTTTTTTCTCCCCAAAGCCCCAGTATGTAGTTGTATATCCTAGCTGTAGGTTGTTCTAGTTCTTCTATGTGGGACACCACCTCAGCATGGCTTCATGAGCGGTGAGTAGGTCTGCGCCCAGGATCCGAACTGGCGAACCCTGGGCCGCCAAAGCAAACTGTGTGAACTTAACCACTATGCAACTGGGCCAGCCCCAGATTACCTAATTTTATATAATAAGCCAGGGAAATCTAAATTATAATTGCTATAATTGACAATGTTAAAAAAATAATATTTACTGGTTCAAAAAATTAATTTAGGGTAAATAATGGAACTATTATTTTACACAGTCACTCCCATAGCTAGCCCATATGGCAACTTTTCGGGAATTAGAAAAAGGTGCCCGTTCCTCAAGACACTTTACTGCCATGTGCTGGAAAATGGCTGTAGTTAACTATACAAACCTACAATGACTGTGAAGTGAATGACACCCCCTGGAGTTGTGAACACTCAACTTTCAGGATTATAAGCAGTGACCAGTGGTCTGTAAACTTATAAGGATGGTTACCAAGTGAGGTGGAACTGGTAAGCAAATAACAATTACTCCCATAACTAATAGTGCTATGCACTTTCTTCAGAGCATTATATGGACTATTCCCTTTAATTGTCATAACAGTCTTGTGAAGGAGTTTGGTTTAAATGAAACCACGGGAAATGCACTAAAAGATTATTAAGACAAGTTTGGAACTTTTGGGATGGATAACCATATCCTTCCACAAAATATTCCTTGATACCATTACTGGAAACAGAAAGTATATTGACTGTGGTTAGGATCATAACAGCATTTTTTTTGGAGTATATACCACTTCTCTATTCCCATGCCCCCATTCAGCCCCAAGAATGGCAGATTAGAAGAGTCCTTGGATGTGCAAATTTTGAAGTATGTAGAGAGACATAATTTTACTGGTGTTAACTGACTCTGCATAAAATAAAAGTAATCTGAGCCTAACACTAGGCTAGTTTACCCTATATCCATGTTACCCTATAGCCATGAAGTTGGCAATATGAACAGATTGAAGCCTGAGCCACATTAAAGCTGTCAACAGCAAATGTTCCTCATCAAATTAACCAGGAATACATTTGTGATAACTACCTTTAATATATTAACTTTAATCAAGACCTATGTTTCATTACCACGGAAATTTTGTAATACTGTATTTATATATTACGTGTATAGGATGTTGATGAAATAATACTTCTTTTATAAATACTGTCTTTTAAAGACACACACACTATATTAACTTAGGTACACCTTGTTATTCTTTGGCTTGAAACAGTTCATTGGTATCCCACTGCTTTGAAAATAAAGTTTAAATTTTCTCGTATTCTTAATACATAAAATGACCTGATCTTTATTCTCCAACCTTATCTTCCGTCATGTCTCCAGATACCTTTAATTCTAACACCAGACTACTTAGTGCCCTCTGAACATGCCATGCTGTTTTATAGTAGAGTAATTTTTCATATCCTATTCCCTCTGTGTGAAATACCCTCCCCCCATCCATTTGAAGACCTATTTTCTTCAAAACCCAGTTGAAGTGTCTCTTCTTCCCTGAAGCTTTCCCTGATCACTTCAAGCAGATTTAATGTTCCAAATGTTCTGAGTGATAAGTGAGTAAATGAGTGACTGAATATAAAATACCTACAGGTAACATGCATAGTTAGTACAGGTAACATGTACAAATTAAGTTTAGGCATTGAACATGGTACCTGGGTATACTAAGTCTCTTATATATTTGTAGTTTTTGTAATAAAAATGTTTTCGTTTTAGTCTAGAGAAAAATGGAGGGCCATCCATAACTCCTGTCTTTAAAAAAGGTAACTAATTTTTCTTTTATCTCTGAACTCTGAGGTACCTTCTAGCCCTGACATTTATTAGTTCTGTGTTCCATTTCTAAAAATCCAAAACATAGAGGTTACCAAAAAAAAAGTTTACCTGTGAACTTTTGCTTTTGTAATTCTGTATACCTAAAATATCCTCATTTACAAGCCCATGTTAATCAATTCTTTTAAGGCCTTCCCTACTAACATCACTTGACAGAAATCCCTTCTAACTTTGTGTTTTCTCACAAGCCATGCATAGAAATAAGTCATTATTGAAACACCAGGTAAGTATGACTTAAATTGTGATCTTTCTATTGTTCTGTTTCATGTACAACTTTACTATAAGTTCTCAGGGCAGAGACCACATTTTTTCCATTGATACTCTGTACAGTTTATACATGGTTGGTAGATGATGGTTGGGTGGCCTAGGCCTGCAAGATCAGAATCTAGATCTTATAATGTTACCCATCAATTCCTATTAGACATATAATAGGGAAAATAAATTACTTTTTGTTTCATGTATATAATTAGTGCTTGTTCACGTATGGTTAGTGTAGGACTAAAATCAGTCTTACTTTGGTATATTGTCCTGTAGTCAAAAGCAAGGATAGAACCATTCAGAAGTCAAGATCAGTTTGCTAGACTCACAAATGGAAAGGGAGAAAATAGGGAGAGAGAATAAAAGGAGAGGAAAGAACTTTATTCAGGGAGTATCTGAAGGAAGCCAGGCATGTATGGGAGGCTAGATTTCTGAATACATGGGTAGAAGCATGTCTGTTTTTTGGTATAGCTTCTTTACTGTAAGAGTAATTCATACAAAAGAAGAAAGCCAGTGCCATTCTTTCTTCACTTTAATATTGGTTTCTAAACAACAATCTGTGTACCAGTAATGGTCTGATGAAGTTTTCACAGGTTTGTGGTAACCTAAGAAAAAATAAGGGCAATGTAGCAACTTTCTGATAAAGTTAATTTTATTCCGTGTAAAGTCTGTCATTTGGGGATAATGCCTTTGACACTTTCTTTTGGCGTTAAAATATCTCTTCTTTTACAAAATGATGTTTCAAGTAGTTGGCATTTGTTCTTGTATTAACGCCAACGTGGCATAATAAAAAGTTGGAGACCATGTATTAGTCCCCACAAATTTTTGCACTCTGACATCTAAAAGTCCAGAAGCTACTAATCTGTTCTCTTAGTATGTTTTAGTGATGTGAAGAAAATAGAACTATACAGAACTGAAAACAATGAGACTATACCTAGAGCTTACACTTAAGAAAGAGACATTTAATTGTGGCTCTCTAATTTCCAGGAAAAGAGCACCGAAGAAAATTAAAACCTAAAATTCAACCAAGAGATTCTTTGACTTTAATACCTCCTGTAACTAACTTCATGGGGCTCTTCAAAACAACAGAAAAGACCACTGTTTCTCAAAATATTTTTTCCTTTTCATCTGCAATTTCATCAGATTTCATAAAAGTATCAAGACCAAGAATAGTGTTTTTGAGCCAACTTGGGAAACATGTACAGAAAGCTAATCCCGAGCCCGCAGAAGGCTAATAAAAGCATTTTAGAATGAAAGGATTCCTAAGCAATCTTCTTAAATTTTTTATTTTTAATTGTGATAAAATACACATAACTGAATAATCTTTTTGAATGGAAGTTCTTGATATTGATAGTTAACATATTTTCCTTAGCATGACTACTGGAATTTAACATCAGGTCAGAGTTATGGTTTAAAAAAATAAGTAGAATTTTCTGTAATAGAATGCCGGCACTTAAAATTATTAAAATATAGCAACTGATACGAGGGACATAATTAGTATATTTATCAAGTGTTAGAAACATTTTTAAATTGGTAGGCTGGGCTAAAGAGGCCTGACTCAAAGTAGCCCATGCGTTAACACTCACTGTAATACCTTGAGATATTTAATGATAAAGACTACAAATGCATGAGGCTTCTAAAACCCAAAACGTATACTTTTAAAACACTGTATTTTAAAAAAATGTGAAATCATTGCCCTTCAAGTACAAAAGTATGGCTAAAAAATGTGACCACCAGTGTTGACCATTCTCGAAACATAGAGTGTATCTTTGGTTTGCAGCTGGGAAGGTTGAAACTGTTTGTGGTGTAGAATCACATGATGTCTTTGCCCAAGAGTACTGTTTCCAGTAGGTCCAAGTTTTGATGTACGTCTGCTTCTTCCATTTTTCAGCAGCAGATACATTTGATACAAAAGCAAGCTGGGCTTCACTGTGTCCTTTAAAGCCCCCCTTTTTCTCTGTCCACTTTGCTCAATTGTCTCCATACAGTCTACCTGGGCTGCATTGAACATATATATTAATTGGCAGTTATTTTCCCCAACATGCTTTATTTATTTTTGGTGAGGAAGATCAGCCTTGAGCTAACATCCATTGCCAGTCTTCCTCTTTTTTTTTTTGCTGAGGAAGATTAGCCCTGAGCTAACATCTGTGCCCATCTTCCTCTATTTTACATATGGGACGCCACACCAGCATGGCTTGATGAGTGGTGCATATGTCTACACCTGGGATCCAAATCCTCGAACCCCAGGCTGCCAAAGCAGAGCAGTGCGAACTTACCCACTATGTCACCGGGCAGGCCCCCCACAACATGCTTTAACACAAGAATAATGACAGTGAAGATGGTAGCTACATGTTCTTAGGCCTTTCTATGCGCCAGAGTCCAAAGTCTGTGCTCTTAATCTCTGTGCAATGAGACCTCTTTAATTTTCCAATTCAATTCCAAATTAGCTTAATTGCTTTGTGTCACAACTGATGGAAGGACTAAAACATAGGAATTGCAGGGGGAAACGGCATATTTTATACTAGAAAGGGATAAATAATTCAAATGATAAGAAACTGTGTCATTTATTCAGTACCGTTAAGGATAAGAATTCACATCAATGAAAATATTGAGCCTCGTAGACACAAAAAAAGGCCTTCAGACAGCAAACTTTGAAATGGCTAAAGACTGTATTTTAAGAGTATTTTCAGGGTTGAGGATCAGGGTTTCTTGGCATTCAATAACATAGACATTTCCTGAGTATCTTGGCCTAGCCAGACCATCCTACCACTCCTAAAACTTACAGTATTTGTCCTAAAGTACAGCACCCCTAGTAAAGGTTATTTTTATTACCCTGCATTGTATTTTTATTTTTGTTTTTAAAATTATATATAAGATGAGAAAGGCCTCAAGATACAGAGGATTTCAGCAAATTGCCTGCCTCTTACCTGGCAAAAAGTAAGCACATATGCTTGCTAACACAGAGTTCAGCATTTCTTCCTTCCTCTTCCTTTCCATCTTTCTCTCTTTCTTTTTTCCCTTCCTTCCTTCTTTCCTTATGGTTAAGTACAGAAAGGCCTAAAGATATGGAATGCTTACAGAATCTGCTCATTTCCTTTATCTGTAGGGTCCCTTATTTATATCATGAACTCAATTTTGACATGTGTGCTTGTAGCACCTGGAACAATTTTGAAACTGAAACTTTAAGAACTTAGTTTATAGATATCCTTATTTTATAACACTTCTGATAGCGAGAAGAAATTTTGGTCAATTTTCTCGTATAGTTTATATGCACTCTGATGGTAATAGCCACAGGAAATAATTACACTTCTCTGTGAATTCAGATTCACATGATACAGAACATAGATACAAATGTAAAATATGAATATAATAAAAAAAAAAAAAGTTTTTTTTTAATAAACACTTCATCATCTTTCTTTTTTCCTGGGAAGGATTTGCCCTGAGCTAACATCTATTGCCAGCCTTCCTCTCTTTTTTTTTCTCCCCAAAGCCCCAGTACGTAGTTGTATATTCTAGTTGTAAGTCCTTCTAGTTCTTCTATGTGAGCCTCTGCCACAGCATGGCTACTGACAGACGAGTGGTGTGGTTCCACGACTGGGAACTGAACCTGGGCCACCGAAGCAGAGTGTGCCAAACTTTAACCACTAGGCCATCAGGGCTGGCTCACAAATAGTTTCTTTAAATGATATTTACAAACCAATTCTATCACACCTATACTTCGACATCAAAGAATGCAAAGCTTTATAAATATTGGCTGTTTCCATATGTGCCCCTCAAATAAATTATATTTTCTATTTCCAGGATAAAATGGATGATGATAAAGCAATACTCTATGATCAAAATTCTAAAAAAAAGAATTACTTATGGAATTTCCCAAAAGGGAGGTCACCTTAAAGTAGGATTAAAATAAGAAATCTTTTCATTCTGTATTTTTATCCTTACTCCCTAGTTTCTCAATAAAGCAAGTCACTGATTAGAAAGTTAACAAGTTGGTCCAGTATGGATGATGTAATATAAATTCCTACTGGTAAAATCTCTCCAACGACATTAAACAGTCAGTAGCACTGGCCTCATATTCAAAGGACAGTACATTCAGTTACTTTAATCTAGGCAGAAAAAAGTGATAAACTGCCATTATACCTGCAGTACAAAGTTTCAAATTTGTAGGAAATTTGAAACAAAGGAAATTATCAAAAAAAATCCTTTTCATCTCATATATTTTCATCGATTAAATACAGTTTCAAAATAAAGCTTATGAATATATGTGGTCAACTAACAAGTACAATACACACTTGAGGAATTATTTGCATGTCGTATTTCTTAAAATCTTAGATTTTAAGAAATGTATAGACATCTCATTTGCTTCAGAGAAGATACCTAATAACATACATTTTTATAATTAATAACATACATTCTGTTAGAAAAAGTCATCTTTTGTCTTGATTTAGAATTCTCTGATTTGACATGACTGACCTGGCTACCTTTCTAAAACTGCTCTCTCGTTAGAAAAGTCAGACTAATGTTTCAGCAGGAGCCAAAAAATAGCTTCTACTCTCTTGATAAGAAAAAGGGGGAGAAAGATCTAGGCCTGTAAAATATGGGTCCAGGATTTAGCAGAATTACTTTCTTCCAAGGTTTTTCTTTCTACCCGCCAATATCAGTACATTCTTTTCCCCACAAGTGTTTTACTTTGGTTTTTGATAATAAAAAAATCTATACTCCCTTGTAAGACTATAACATATTATTACAGTCTCTCAGAAAAGCAGCTTAAATATCAAACATGAGAAAAAGAATATTGAAGTCTTGATAAACAATTACTATTATATATATCTTCTACAATTTGATATACAAAAAATCAAAACTTAATGTTGAAATACTACCTTTAGGGGTTTTATGAAAAGCAAAAATCAAATCTTCATTTTTAGTCGTGGTACTTTGATGGCAGCTTCTCCAACTTCTTTTGATATATCTACTCCAAGAGGACATCTGCGTCATAATCAGACAAATCACATTATTTCACATATTTGCTTCCTGATCTGTCTCCAGTTCTGCAGACTATTTGCTTAGAATTCTGACAAACGCTATACATGTCTAATGTATAATTAATCATATGTGGTGATGGCTCTTGAATACATACAAATACAGTGGTTCCTCAAACCAGAATAATGGGTGAAGGAAGGCCAGTTCCATTAATAAGAAATCCAAATTTGGAGATGTTTTTTTAACCACTTTGAGGTATAACTGACATGTAAAAAGCTATACATATTTAATGTATACAGCTCGATGAGTTTAATGTATACATCTCGATGAGATGTTTTTGAAAGAAATAGTTCTATTGCTCTCAAATACTGTAAATAAATAAAAACTTAAAATGAAATAAAAAAATAACAAAAAAATGCCTTATAATTCTCTACAAAGCTAAAAGAGTAAAAGCAGTTTACCATAAAGCTAAAGTCAAACCTGCATACATTCCTACTTTAGAAATTCCCCAGGTTTCTATCGATTCTTTTCTGAGGTTTAAAAAACTGGCTTGCTCTTTTTCTACCTTCCTGTGTCATTATTGGCAGGAGAGGCCTTAGATCCTACCCTTTTTCTGTTCCTTCTCAGTAAATACTTTGGCCTCAGATTTCTGCTTTCTTACAATGTTGCCCAATATAAGGCTTCAACTGGATCCCAACCTGAAAAAGCCATCATTTCTAGCCTCAACACTGCCACAAGAAGGTACCACTGGGTCAGACAATATATTTTACCTGAGGCTAGGCCATCGACATAGGGGATTCCTTCTGCCACTACTAACTAAACTCTGTTCATTTATGATCAGCCTTAATTGTCTACGGTTCATGTAGCTATAGTTATGGACTAAAATTGCTGTAAAGTTTTAAAACATTAGATGAAACAATGTTAAAAGTAGAATTATGTCAGATTATGAAACATAATCATCCTTTACTATTTTTACTATTCTAGAATTAACTTAGACCAGAACTTGATAACAAATTGAAAAACTGTGCTATTCCTTGGAACTTTGATTTGGGAGAGGAAATAAAGCTAGTAGAAAACAGCTTATCTTTTGGCCATTTCTCAGCTGCCTATGGAGGAGTATACTCACAACCCAGTCTCACATCTGAATGCTTTTTGTACTTCTTCCTTAATTCCCTTCATACCAGCTGGTCCTGAGATGGTCTTGACATTGCAAAAGTCCAGGCCATGAATATGGTTTCTGTTCTGGTCCCAAATGAGAGAATTCATCACCCTTACCCACTGCCTGTTTCTAACCTATGATTTGTCAAAATTTTTATAATTTGATACTTAGCAAAAATATTCCTTATAAGGTATCTACCTCCTAGGTTCATGAAAGAAATTAATGTAACCTTTCTTCAAGTACCACCAGAATATCAATGAAAACTTCATATAAAAAACAAAATCCAGGCTTTGACTTTTATAGTGCAACTTGCATAAAGATTAGGAATGGTACCACATACTTTGGTTCATAGCGAATGCCTTCTGTGTCGTGTAAAATGCCCAAGCCAGCACGCAATCTTTCAATACCATTCCTAAATAAGAATCATAAAAATAAAAAAATAGTGCAAAATTTAAAGGAAGATTTAGCATGATGAAATGGCAACTAATATTTACAAATTTTTGAGTGAAGCACACATATCCCATGGCTTACCATG